TTGTCCCTGGGCCCCTGCACTGGTCTGTGAGCATCTCGGGGGCTGGGTTTATGTCGCCTCCCCCTCCACGCCCAGGGCCAAGCAGAGGGCCCGCATGGGGCAAGCGCCCGAGGAACGCTTCGGTCACCGAACGAAACTGGAGTTGGCTAGTTTGACAGGACGGCCACGCCGCTCTGGAACCACGGCCATGACGCGCAGGCTGGAGGTTTGAGATGCTTCTCGGAAACACTCAGTGGCACATGCGAACTCGGTTATTATCCATTAGCTTGACATGATGTATTAGCCTAACGTCTGAAAGGGAGGAGAGACATTCTCAAGCATGAGGAAGACTAAGAAGTCATTATTTACACATGTTAACTAGACTGACATTTTGTTCATTTCTTCAGCTTCGATGAGAAGTAAAATATTTCATTTCAGTAAATTTTCCAGACAACTAGATTTCCCTGTTTAAGCACTGAGTTACTTAAAAAAAAAAAAAAACCCTTGGGAGCGGGTGGTGTTTCTCTGATGTACGGTATATTCACCACCTTAGTGATCTAAACTCACTGAAGACAGTTTGTCCTCTTTAGAGATACAATGTAACAATAATTATCATCCTTGGCTACAGAGAGAAATAAAGCTCTTTATTCACTTATTAATATTCCCTTTAATTCTGGGTGACAGAATCTAATTTTGGCTTTCAGAAAGACGTGGAAAAAAAACGATCAGGACAGAGAAAGGATGTCAAATAATGTCATAGGAAGACTGTCAGGGATACCGGGCTTGGAGAAGAATTGCAAGACATAAGATCAGCCTCGCTGATGTAGAAAAGGAAAGATGACAGTGGAGGAGAATAAGCTTTATTCCTGTAACTTCAGAAAGCAAAGCGGAAAGCACGCAGCGGAAGTCACAGGGACGTGGGTCTTGAAGAAATAATGTAACAGGGAGTTAGGTCTCCATCTTAGAAGCCACCAGGGAGGGACGCGGGTCCGGCCATTTTGGGGATTCCTGCCCTGGGATGGGGGCTGGGCTTGGTGACTCATGTCCCACTCAGGGCCTCTTATCCCCCTTGAGTGTGACCGGCTCAGGGAAGGACACTGAGCAAGGCGGGCTTATTCGATGCCGTGAGTGTCTCTTCTTGAACTGTGGTGAGAGCTTAGAAAAGACAGTAAGTTCGGGGTGCCGGCGGCGACCCTGCTGCTGGGGGTGCAGAACGCTTCCGGAGACCGAGTCAACACAGAAAAAACGCCAGCGAGAGACAGATCGCGACACAGAGTCCCGAGGCCACTGTGCGAGCACCGGAGCCCCGTCCCACCCCAAGGCAGAAGCCATCCCTGCCCTTTTCAGAGGCGCAGCGCAGGAGGTCCGCTTGGTACGGAAGCCGGTTTCTGTCACTTGGAACCAGAAGAGTCCATTCCGGTTGCTAAGTGGTTTTGTGGCTCGAAATGATTCTATGACTCTGGGCTTTTACGAATGGCTCCCGCGCTTTCTGGACTTTGAGGCTTTGTTTCTAATGGCTCAGCTTCCCTCTCATCCGCCTGGAGCGCCTTCTGTTTAGAAACTAAAAGTAAACAAAATTATCAGCCTTATTCAGCGAAGTCGGCTTAATTGCTCAATTAATCCAAATGATTTTATTGCTTCGAGGCCTCTCCTGGGAACTAAAGTGCTTGGGCTTTGTGACGGGCTGTCTCTGTTTTAAATGTCTGACGTTGCAGATGCTCCGATCGCTGCATCAGTGGACGAAGAAACAAGACGTGTTTTACGCGTTTGGATACGCTACTCAGACGACGACAAAGCTCCAAAAATTCGAGATGAATTCTTTTATTTAGATGCTTGGCTTAATATCGATAAGGCCGGCGTGAATACGAATTATCTTTGTAAAGGCTTGAGAAACCAAAATCTGTACATACGAACATATTTTTTAAATAGTTCACATGTTAACATTAAGTTTCCGAATCTGTATTCGCCAAGATAACCATAATATCGTCATATCATTAAATAAGATAAAAGCTTTTAAACTAGTTTAATGTTGCTCCTTATACGTTTATTGTAAACCCATCTGTAATCGGCTGGTTAGTTAAAACGGAAATCGAATATCGCTTAGTAAGCAGCGTTTGGCAAAGTCTTTCAAGGCATCCTCCACAGATCACAGAATTTTGTTTCACCAAAACTTTGTT